TTCTCACGGAGCGTTAGCCTTCTCACGGAGCGTTAGCCTTCTCACGGAGCGTTAGCCTTCTCACGGAGCGGAGCGTTAGCCTTCTCACACCCCTTATTTCAGCACTGTGAGCACAGACTCTTTAGAGTTCTCATCTGTGCTTTGGAGATACTGTTGTTTAATTGATGCCATCCATGTTTAAGGCAAATCTTTTTATAGCAAAATTGTTGCCTTGTTGAAAGATAACTTCATGTAATAGTCTTGGTTCCAGGCAATAAATTTGGAGGCTACTCCTGATTCAATCAGTGAATCTGTTAAGTCTTGGTTTCCTTTAAGAATTTGAAGTTCTGGTCCACAAATTTTCCTACTTTTTGAATAAGACTCAACTATTGGGAATCCTGGTGTGGTGCTGCAGATTAATGCATGAGACTGCAAGGTCAGTTTGAATCACAAGGTCAGCGGTTCGAGCACACCAGCTGCTCCTCAGAAAACCTATACAGGGTTGCTAGGAGTCGGAACTGACTCTTATATTTACAACAACGGTCCTGCTTAGTGACTTTCCTCTCTGCTTAGTAAGCAGGGTGAGTCTGGCTTGGAGAGAGAGGTCACTTGTGTGTCCAGGTCTGCAGAGCTGTCCTTGGCAGAGTCAGTCCTGGACTTTGCTCCTCATAGGGCCCTGACTAGCACCACGGACGTGGAGAGGTGGGATTGTGGCTGGTATAGCAGCAGGCTCAGGCCCAGCGAGGGACTAACTGGCCATCCACTTTGAGAATGTATGAGGAAAGCAGGACAGTGGCAGTGAGCTTGGACAACGCACCTGAGTGGACAAAGGCCTGGACGTATGGTGCTCTGGCTCTCACCCAGTGGCCCAGGCCCCTGTGTTGTTCCTGGTCACAGCTTTACCCTGTTCTTGATCTCCATGCTCACTGAGCCCTTCATTGTACTTAGTGATGGCCTTTCAGGCTCTCCGTGCTTGACAGAAGTGTTTTGGTGTTTTCAGTGGGGAGCAGGGGCGAATGGTGTTGTTAGGTTGCTGTAAAGTCAGTTCTGACTTGTAGCCACCCTGTGCACAACAGAATGAATACTCAGTTCCATGCCATCCTCACAACCGTGAACTGAAGTCACGGTCTCCACCCACACATTGTTGAGGATCTTCTTTTTCTCTGATCCTTTACTTTGCCGAGTGTGATCTCCTCTTCTAGGGACAGGTTCCTCCTGATAACGTGTCAGAATGTGTGAGAAGAAATCTCACCATCATCGCTCGTAAGGAGCTTTCTGGCTGTGCTTCTTCTAAGACACATGTGTGCATTCTCTGAAAGTCCACGGGATATTTAATGTTCTTCACCAACACCACAATTGAAATGCATCGGTTTTTCTAGCGTCCTTATTCATTGTCCAGCTTTTGCGTATGTATGAGGCAGTTGGGAGCTTGAAGTTTCTTTAGCTGTTTTTGTTTGTTTCTTAATACTTTGTGTTAAAACAGTCGTCATGAAGTCGAGTGAGACTCGTAGCCACCCTCTAGGACGTAGGAGTAGAACTGTCCCATTGGGTTCCCAAGGCTGTGAACCTGTATGAAAGCAGAATGTCACATCCTTACCCATGTCATGGCTGCTGGACCATATTGTGTGGTCCATAATAAAACTGACATTTGAAGGAGAAAATTCAACGGCATTAGGTATATTGTATCGCCATCATAGCTGGGTAGCCTTAGATATCTTCCTCACCCCTTGACTGCCCAGCTTGCTTGATCACACCTACCACGCTGTCTAGTCTGTTTGCTCTACCTCTGTCTCACAATGGTGTCCACACTTCTGGGGTCTCTTTCAGGATGGGAAACGACACTGGAAAACAAAGAGTTAACGCCAGCAGCTGTTTCCAAAGAAGAACCAGCCCACAGCCTGAAGGAGGAAGAACCTTCTAGGGGTGGCCCCTCACCCTCCTCTTTGGGAGATGCTTTGGAAGATGAGGAGGACCCAGAAGGCAGGGACGAGGCTTCAAAACCAGCAGAGTTGGCTCAGGAAGCCACCCAACCTCAAGAGGAGAAAAGTAAGCCCCCGCAGTCCAAAGTGAGCCCCGCCGTCCACACACAGCCTGTTCCAACCCAGAAAACCCCTGCTAGGAAACATGTACGCAAACACGCCTCACCAGTTAAAAGCACAAAGCCAGGCCTACCTGCAAAATCTCCCCCGAGTACCTCCAAACAGGGAAACGCCAAGGAAGGCGGTACTGCTGGGCCATCCTGCCCTCAGAGCCCACAGCAGATTACATTCACCAGGATCCACAAGGGAGCCCCTCACTGCCGATGCAGCGAGTGCGGGAAAACGCTCCGGAACCCCAAGTACTTCTCTGTCCATAAGAAGATCCACATAGGAGAGCGGTCCTTTGTGTGTCAGCATTGTGGGAAGTCATTCATCCAGAGCTCCTCCCTCACTCAGCACCAGAGGATCCACACTGGAGAGAAGCCGTTCAAGTGCCATGAGTGCGGACGGGCCTTCAATGACCGATCGGCCATCTTCCAGCACCAGAGGACGCACACCGGTGCGAAGCCCTACTCATGTGGGGACTGTGGGAAGGCCTTCCGACAGAGCTCTCACCTCATCAGGCATCAGAGAACTCACACTGGGGAGCGCCCCTACGTGTGCAACAAGTGTGGACGGGCTTTCAATCAGAGCTCCCACCTCATCGGGCACCAAAGGACTCACAACCAGGGGATGTGCAAGAAGAAGCCAAAATCTCCCAGCAACTAGGAGCCAGAAGTGTGGGCACAGACTGCTTTCCTCACCTCATTTCACAGTGTAACATTCACAGGCCTGCTTGGGATTCAAGACTGAAGATGAAAAGAAAGTGTTGAATGAATACCTTCCAAAAATCAAAGAACACCTGTGAATACGGAGCTGCATACCTGTGAGGCAGTGTTCATGAAGGTAGTGGTGGGGTTGTGGGAACAGTGAGTGGTAGTCGGTTCCAACTCACAGCAACCCTGCACAGGGTTTCCGAGGCTGTAAATCTTTACGGGAGCAGAAAGCCTCATCTTTCTCCCACGGAACGGCTGGTAGTTTCAAACTGCTGACCTTGCGGTGAGCAGCCCGATTCATAACCACTACGCTATCAGAAGTCCTTGTGGGGAGGAAAATTTAATTTGTTTTCCAATCATTTGATTAACTATCAGTACTTTGTTGATTCATTTGTTCATTATAAGAAATATGAATAAAGCTAGGAAATGTTTACAAAGTGTTTCAAAGGCCATATGTGCAGTGAGAGTGGCTCTTATGGTGAAGTATGAATATGGGCAAGGATTAAATCAGCATACATACATCAACCACCTTCATATTTCTGTGGCAGAATCTGTGGGGCATTTTGTTTCCCTTTGCTAATTTAATTAACTATTATTCTAGTAATTATTTGAAATTTAAAATAAGTAGTGTTAATTGCTAATGGAGACAATCAGCCACACATTTTATATCCTCCTTCTATCCCGACTCTCCCTGCTCTGTTGCTTCAGGTGAATACAGACCAATGGTCCTATCTTAATGCTTTTTTTTTTTTTTTCAAGACTTGGTATGTATTTTATTTTTCTATTAATGTTTCAGATCTTCTGAGAACATAATACTGGTTTTTTTTTTTAAGGTTTTTATTGTGGATTGAGTGAAAGTTTTCAGGGTACATCATCGGTTTCACATTCAAACATTCATATACCTTGTTTCATTACATTGATTATAATCCCCTCCACATACCATCAGTTAACAGAGTTTCTCTCTATCCTCTTTAGCTTTTTTTTTTTTGGGAAAAACTTTGCCTTTTTGGAATTTACAGTCTCGGCTTTTAGGGAAGGTTTTTACATTTATCTGTGGGTATCCAGGGCTCATGTATGGAATTACTAACCAGCATAACTGAATAATCAGATAAGGGACATTTTGCTATGTCTGCTAGGTGGAATTTTTTACTTTGCCAAGGTAATTAAGTCTCACCGAGAGTCTTTTATGCAACATCGGGATTCATTTCTAACAGTTATGTGCCGTGGAGTTGGTTCCGACTCATAGCGACCCTATACAGGGTTTCCGAGGCTGTAAATCTTTACGGGAGCAGAATGCCTCATCTTTCTTCTGTGGAACAGCTGGTAGTTTCGAACTGCTGACCTTGCGGTTTGCAGCCTGATTCGTAACCACTACGCTACCAGAGCCAGTAGGCTTAATGCTTTTAAGCCCCTGGACACTATGCATCAAACCAGGAGGTAGAACAGAGGCACTAGCATATTATTAGGCCAGTTAACTGAGATGTTTCACGAACCCATGGCCCTAAACCTCCCAACCAAGGAACCAGATCCCACAAGGTGTTTGGTTATACCTAAACAACCTCAGTAGCTACTCTTTCTTCTTTTGTTGTTGTTGTAAATACATACCACATTTTTGCCAATTCCACTTTTTATATGTGTACAATTGATCAACAGCAATTACAATAATTGGATGAGCAGCCCTACCCTTAATGTGACTTTCTACTACCATTATCCTTTCTCCCCCACCTCCCTTTCTGTCCCTCACCAGCCCCTGCCCTCGTAAACAATAATAATAAACTTTGGTCTCTCTAAAAAAGAAAAAAAAAAAAGTAGTGTTAAAAAGGAGAGGGATCGGGGACCCCAAGTCTCTGATCACCCGTTTTTATTGTTAAGTAGGTTCTGATTCATAGTGACGCTGTATATGGTTTCTGAAGCTGTGATTCTGTAAGGAGTCAGAAAGCTTCATCTTCCTCCCAAGGAGCAGCTGGTGGGTCAAACTGCTGGTCTTGGGCTTCACAGTCCAATATTTGTCCTACAGAGACACCAGGACTTGTCCTACAGAGACACCA